AAACTGAAGTACGTCGAGTTATTGAGAGATACAATTTTTTTTTGAGACGGGAACTTTTTTTGCATGACGAAAACAGTCTCCTCTTGCCAAGGTGAAGAACCACCGGCATCGACAAGTGCGGACGCTGCCTTCTTGTCCTGAAAAACAACATCTGGAAACTTACGTCAGAAACTCTGAAGGCTACACAAATGGTACTATGTTTGAAAAATGGAAACCTTTGTGCAAACTTCCTGTAGAAGTGGACATACCTTGTTAATTGTGCTGACTACGTGCATGAGTGTTAATGACCCTCTTTACCCACCCTTCGATTTAACAAGCCACTTTGCATGTACTTAGCCTCTGCCTTTTAGCTTGAAACTCTTCTTCAAACTTGAGAACTCCGTTGTCTCATTAAAGATGATAACTGGTTCGAAGACTGAAACTTGTCTTTAATATTTCGAGGCTGTTACGTAGTTGTTGATTTGTGAAACCACAAGTTTGTAATACCGAAGTTCTGATGTCCAGTAAGGCCATGTTGATTTGATTATATGGATGACATCCGCGCGCGCATGAATTTTCGGCCGTTTCCAAAAAAAAAAAGTTTTCAACCATACTGTAAATCGTACAAAACAGTTGCAAAATGAGCAAAAATATACCATAAGTTACAAAAAAATTAATAAAAACTATACCAATGTCGTAGAATGCCAAAATCAAACGAAAAAAGACGAAATTGTAAAGAAATGAACTTGAAGACTAGATTATTCGCCAAACCATATTCTGTGCCATTTGCTCAACCCTCATAACCACGTAGATTTCATAATGAAAATAACTTTTTTTTTTGCAAAACTTTTTTTTATTCGCAAAAAAAACTATTTTTTATTCGCAAAAAAACTATTTTTTATTCGCAAAAAAAAACTATTTTTTTATTCGAAAAAAGACGAAATTGTAAAGAAATGAACTTGAAGACTAGATTATTCGCCAAACCATATTCTGTGCCATTTGCTCAACCCTCATAACCACGTAGATTTCATAATGAAAATAACTTTTTTTTTTGCAAAACTTTTTTTTTATTCGTCACGCGCGCATCAGTTTTGGGGCTCCCGGAGGATGTCATCCATATAATGAAATCAACATGGCCTAATGAAAGAAAATATCCCATGTTATCTGTTGACCCTTTCTCTCACACATACACTAAATATTAACCCAGGCGACGTTCGGAATTACACAGAGGGGCCTGAATCATTTTTTTTCAAATGCAAGAAC